ACCCAGCGCTGGGTTACGTATTGGGTTATTTTTAACCCAGCAGTTTTTACTGTGTATTAATAATATTAATGCATAGCTATCTGTTACAATCCTGAAATTTAAACCGCTGTTTTGTCAGGTTAATTTCTAATGAGCTAATGAAATATTGTTAGGTTGTGAAGGAAATAAAAATGTAAGCATTAGATTAAATGAATACTAGATTTTTATATTTTATGCCATTCAATGCTAAGCAATAACCTGCAATTACTCATTGTTACCTCACTGTCTGAAGCCACGGTAGTAATTTAATCTGTATCTCCCAATAATTCAGTTTGTTAAACTGATTATTTCAGTCCCAAGCTTCCTTATGAACACACCATTTATACAGATCTAGCCTACTAATGTGAACTAATGTGGACCATGTCAGAGACGGTATATGAGTGGAGTTTCAAGAAATATTGCGTTGCTGCATGAAATTACCGTTATCAGCTGTGATTTGTCAACAGATGGCTTTAATTGCCAGTGTTTGTGTAATTTGTCTTTGCATTTTCTCATAAAGTATTATGTTTCCAAGAGTAAAACTTCCCCTGCCTGTCAGCACTTGAGCTCCGTCTTAGTGCTCACTTTCCATCCCACATATCACCTATCAGAAGTAGTTGAGAGTTGTCAGCCAGCCTCCACCATAGGGATATTTAAACAACATAATTTTTGGCTAAATATAGTTAATATGCAAACCACCTTTTTATCACGGTGCAAAAGCCTTAATACCAAGACCACAACATGCTTTGCATACTGTGTATGCACTGCATGTGCTGTAAAGAGATTATCCTGCTGTGCGCATTATATAACTGCACACATCAGCGTGACAAACAGACTGGCTTCCTCCTGCAAAGACGTGTTTATGCCACTTTATGTAAAAGATGATGGTTTCTTGGAAAAGGTCACAAAAATGATAACTAGCGTAAGCACTGCTACCAGTAAGAGTAAGGGAATAGCAGGAATGTGAATCTGGGGAGGAGACAGATTATTTTAACAAATGTAGCAGATACTGTGACAATATAACAGCAGTATGTACCATCCATCCATTAATATCTGAGATCTGGTCAGTGAAAGAAGAGATCCCTTTTCCCCATGTGACAGTCTCAAGGTCCAGCTCATTTTAATGGACCTCAAGGCATTCCCTGGCCACAAGGGACCTATAAACACACCATTTATACAGATCTAGCCTACTAATGTGAACTAATGTGAACTAATGTGAACCGTCTCAGTGAACTCTAACAAGTTCTTGGTCTTTCTAGGGTTTCTCTTCAAGTCGGATGCACCAGGAAAACCTGAAAAACGGCACCCAGGGGACATTCTTCTCACTTTTTGATATCATATCCTTTTCATGTGGAAAAGCA